AGTCCAATAACTTTCATTTCTAAGAATTCGAGGCTGTTCTTCGCAAAACGCTGGTTGGTGTCATTGTATTAAAATTAATCGTTGGAGGTCTCGCGACGTATGGGGTTCATTCCTATTCCACTGTCGATAATGCTTATACGAGTCCTCAGTCAAACGTTTTCCCTACAAAGCAAGGCCAGCATAGTCATATGCGGTAATATTTAGCAGATGCTTTCGTTCTTATTTTTAATTCACTGCTCGTTTCAGTTATCGCTTGGTTGCTCATGATTGCCATTAAAATATGCAATGGTATAGTGTTGTTAGGAAAGGCCTGCGGTCATGTTATGGCTTATAAGGATTTGCAGGTATTTATTTATTTATTTATCCATTTATTTAGACATTTATTTAATCCGAAAAAATTTATTTCTTCGAGAATTTAGTGATGATTGAAAACTCGTGCTTTCCATACCAAATTCACAGTTAGACAGCTTTCAGGCACGTGCAGAATACGATCTGTATCGCAAGCGTATGGTTGAAAAGAAGAGTAAAAGTGCTCCAAGTTCACCTCGTATAAGTCTGATAGACTTTTCGGGTGGGTGGATAATGACTTCCCTATCAACCTTATCAACCTATGCTAAATATTTCTCAATGCAGATGTGCTGCACCAAACGGCTGGCGTGAAAGGGTTTACTATATCTGATCTGATGTGCCAATGGGAAGATCTGGAGAATGCTAGTCAACGACGAAGTAGTGAACGAGAGCGAGAAGAGCGGCCACCACGGAGAACGCAAAGTTTGGCACATATGTCTCGGTACGTAAGCATACTTATCGTCAATTTCTGACACTTTGTTCAGTTAAGTGTTGTATGTTGGTAAACGCGAGCAAATGGCATCACTTTTTTGGTTCCGTTGCAAACGCTCCTACCGCAGTAGTTTTCACTTTGAAGGCCTGAAACACGAAAAATTAAGAATTTGGTGAGAAATGAACTTAAATATAGCAGCTTAGGCTTGGAAGAACATCCGTAATCCCGCTAGAGCTCCTCACAATCATCATTTCACATCTTACCCTAGGGGGATAGTGACGGCACCCAAAAAGGCTATAGAAAGACGGTCTCCAATCCAGCAGGCAACTGGTCTACTACATTTGCGCATCTGTGACAGAGCATCTATGGAGCTCTTCTTAACCCCTCCCGCAATTGCATTTTCCGTTTATCTGCCTTACTTCGGCATTCATTCCTAGTGGGCTCGATTGCGATGCTTTATTAACCGGGGAAACAACCGAAGGCTTAGTTTGCCGTGCGCCTCAGTGTTCGCCGAGTTCACTGCTTGTGAGAAGATTGTAACTGATAGATGGTGTTTTGCAGTAGGACTTGTAACAGATACGCTTTTCTCTGTCTAGCCTGCTACTCCGTTTATGTTATATTTTTTAGGGTCAAGAGAGACAAAAGTGAACCTCCTTCATCCATTCCTGAAGTAGATGAAAAATCAGCTAAGGAAGAGTCTTCATTCCCAGCCGAAAAAAGGGAAAAGGAGAAGGACAAGACAGAGTAGGTTGATGAGTAATTCATTGTTTCAGTGAACATGCTTTCATAGTGTATGAGACTACTGAAACGACTTTTGAAGCAATCCCTACAGTGGTAGAAAATTTCGTAATTTCATATTGACAAGGGGTTTATTTGCAAAGGGTCCTGGCAAGGTGGTGAGCTCAAGTGTGTTCGTTCAGTGCAAACTATGTTTTTATTAATCGCTCTGTGTTGTCCAAGGCTCATGCGAGCTTGCTCGGCCTGGAACTGGTTGTGGTTTTCTTACTCTCCTGAAAATAGCGAACGAATCATGGTTTAGGATGCAAGGGGTAGAAGAAGAGTTCTTTTGTCGTTTTTACGCCGTAACTGCCATAATATAGAGCTTTTGATTGAGAGCGAGATGCGAACATAGACGATACCTTTGACCGATCATCATTCCGAACGCGAACTTTCGTTTCATAGATTTGCTTGAAGTTACATTTAGCGCGGTCTATCCGTTTAGATGTCTCCTCTGTTGTTGAGGTTAAGTCCTACGCAACTGTTAAGTTTATACTAGTTTTACGGCACCAAGCTGAGAAGTTGAGTTGGTCTTCATCGCAGAGTTACATTTGTGCTGAAAAATATTACGCTCAGCATTTGTGGCAACCTTCCATTGAAGCCCTGCAGTTGTAGAGAACCTCAAAGCTTCCTGCATTGAAACTTTTGTGAGTGATATTCATGCATATACGTCCAATTCAAATGCCCAATATCTTTGAAATAACTGTATCCCCGTACCAGGAAGGCACCTATTGTTTTTGGTTGTGGAGAGACACTCTTGGTTTTCCTTCGCTGATGATTTATCTAGAATCTGCAATTTGAATGAGTCTGAAGCTCCTCGTTAGACCTGACCGAGTATTGCGATTTCACTTTATCAGTTTAAAAGTAGAATATTGTTTGGGTAGTTTAATCTGTTTTTTCAGCGCTTCACAGTGTAGTCCAAAGAAGAAAGTAGTTGCGTCGGCAGCTGGTTGTGATGTACTGGCTGACGTCACGGCCTACACCATGCTTCCGCCGGAACAAGGTGTTGAACGAATAGAATAACATTGCGCAACAAGACGGCACTGGCAGCGCTGAGCAGGTATGTAAGGACCTTCAAATTTGAAAGTATTCAACTTTTCGGTAAATGCTACAACCCATTAAGGGTGAATACCGTAGCAATATTGACAAGAATAAGTTCGCAAACTTCTAAATTCTCATCCAACGTGAATGCTGACCATGATCTAACGGCATATGGGCATGAACCTTTCCAAGCTAGGAGCCTACGAAGACTTTTTCCTTTGTTCGATTCTGCAGTCACTCGTTTGACTACTTTGGAAATTTAATTGAGATTAAAACTAAGTTTAGGCTATATAATCAAATAAGAACAACAATAAGTTGTTGTAGGAATGCACCTTTTCTTGGCCTTAAAAACACATGGAAATGATATTCTTTCACAATGGGCGCAGATAGTAGAATCTCCTGTCGTGTAGTAAGCTGTTGTTATTAGTGGCAGTCACACTATGAGCCTGAGTTGCTCGAGTTAGATAGATAGGTTATTAGTCTCTTCACAGACTTCCATTTTCGTTTTTCAATACAAACTCTCATAGAATTGTTAGTCATGGTGGTTCAAGACTACTTCGCCCCTGTTACTGTGCAGTATTAACGGACATCTCCACACGCGTGCATCACAACTAAGAATGCTTCGAACTAACTTATACGCTCGTCTTCACTCACGTGCGAGCATTAGCAACAAACCATTCGTTTCTGTTTTTCGCGATCGCCATTAACGGTTGCCTCAAAATTCGACAAAGATGACAATGCGAGGTGTCGCTCAGCTACATGCGCAGCCGCTTTACGTGATCGGGAGCATCTAGCAGGTCTTCCCTTCGATGGTGAAAATCTTAAAACTCAACCGTTCTTCTTGTCCATCTGTCATCATCTCTTCTCATGATATCAACGGCCCATTGAAATTTGGCATTTTCATGTGTTCCACCGGCTCCAAAAGGCGAGACATTCTGCGCATATCGGAGCTTCGGAGACTGACTCGAAATTGAATGAGCCGGTTGAACCTCAAAAGACATCGCTCCGGTGCTCTGTGATTTACGCTCAAAGCTGTTGACGTAAACGAAGTTCCGGATCAGTCAGATGGTTGATGACATCTTTCAAAGCTCCACAAGTCGTCCGCACTGCTTGCAGCCGTCTTACCAGTTCTTCCTCCATGTCGTTGTTCGTATACATGGAGATAAACGTAAGATAAGGTCTCCTTGATGGGTGTACCCTCAATCTTAATTTTTCTCGCCAGCCCAAGCATTCTTCATGAACTCTGCCATTGTTTGGTTGATCCACAGCCCTATCTTCTTTCCTCCTTCACCGAGTTCTGTAAGCATAGTCTCAGCGTCCGCAAAGCTGCTCGAGAAGAGGAACCCTAGTCTCCTTTCTTGTGAGGATTGGCCACCTGCTTGCTCTTCCACTGGTTGGAGGGCACCCCTTTCCTCGTGGTGGATGTGGTTGTCTGGTGTGTTGCGAGAAGCGCATGAAGTTCGTGAGCACCTGCGCAAGTAGGTCGGCTAGGATCTTGTTGGGGCCTTGGAGTAGTGCACCCTTTTCATACCTGCAATCCGCAGCTCTCACCTCCAGAAGAAGGATTCGAAGTGTTGTTCCTCTAGTGGGGTTTTCTGGATTTCGCGTATGTGTCGTGGGTCGGTATAAGTCAAAGTAGAACCTCTAGGTAAACTATTCTATCTCAAATCTCGATGTTGTAAGAGTTCCGTCCTTCTTCTTCGAACATTGGAATTCTGTAGTCCTGTAGATCCTTTCGGAGAAAAACAGTTCTTGACAACGAAGAAGGGATATTTGCACTGTCGAAGACTAATTTTTCATGAGAATTTTGTTACTAGAAAAAGAATCGTTAGATACAGAAACCGCATAGCGATATTCTAGGAGTGAAGGCTTTTATGGTGCGCTACTATAATTTATTGGCTTCTAATGTACTATGTTTAAGGTCCATGCAGTTCCCAAAGATCATCATTGTTTAGCAGAACTATTCAGATTATCTATTCTGTTTCTTAAAGCCTGTGAATGTTTATTTCAGCCCGCTTGATTGATTTTACTTAGGTTTGTTCATGCATGTTTAGCGGGTATTGTGATCATTAATGTATCTAGGAGTGCCTACTTTTTCGGGATATTGCTGATTTCTTGAAATGTTTTGATGGCTCCTCGATGTTCGAGAGCTTCTCATAGGTAGAGTTACTTAGGTTGTCAAGACACTTGTTTCATTCCTTCAGTGTTCTGTGAATTGGCATACTGTGGCGTTGTTGTTTTTCTTTCAGTTACGGTCTGTGTTATGACTCATATATTTAATTGAATAAATTGGATCGAGTAAATAAAATTTTTTAGCCACAGCGTACACTGTTCCATGAATGAGCTGTTGCTCCTCCTATTGCTCTGTCAGAATCGTCACATTCCCGAAGAATTAATATACGAGATTTATAGATTCTCTTGTGGAGGATTAAGCATTGGAACACACGTTATTGTTATTGGTGACGGTGCTCCACTTTATGCTCACGTCGGCGTTTTCCCTTTTTCAGATGCGGGATGCTTTTGGTGACTATCCAGCTAGATCCCGATGCCTGACTAATGTCGTCGAAAGGTCTTGATTAGTAAGCATTGAACAGTAAATGTGTGTGTGTCTCTCGCCGTCCATAATATGAGGCACCTATGAAGTCAACATATTCCTTCGTTCAAAAGCCTGGACTCGAGAAATGCTGATTGGCTGCTCACCGGTAATAAAACTCCTCCTTTTTGACATCGTTTGGATGGCCTTGTCTTACTTAATGTTATGGTGACAATGTTCGGATGTGGTGTCTCTTTTGGCGAAGCCATCAATATTGAGTGTTTTCATGGGAGTGGTGCCCACCTCATGGGCTGTTAAAGTTGAAGGCTATTGGGGTTGAAGTCACCCCGCTGTAGAGACGTTCTTTATAAGCGGAAGGTGGTGCAAAGCTGTTCCAATAAAATTAATATCGTGCTCAATCAGGAGGCGGATTCTCGGCTATGGGGAACGCGCGTATGATTATCATCAACGGAGCTAGTAGCGGTCAAAAGTATTCGCCAAAACGCTTTTTTGTGAATTCCTTTTCCATTGCTTGACCGATTTGCTTCAGATTTGGGTATGTTTTGTCGTTCAATGTTACGAACAAATTGTGCCAAACATAATCCCGCGCACTGCCTAATACGTCATCTCGATCGACATTTTTTGAATTTACTAATTTCCGCCCCCGTGCCATCACTGCATTGTACGCTCTTCTTGCGATATCCAAACATCTTTCTGACATAAGCGACTCACCCCAATGGTTAAGAAGGCCGAAACTTCGGAAGCCACCTGTAAAACTATAGTGGACATGAAGGAAGCAGGCATGAGAGGTGCAACGATTGCGAGGATTCTGAAAATTCCAGCACGCACCGTGTCATCAATTCTCGCTCGTTTCCACGAAAGGAACGCGGCGTCCAACGCTCTGAGAACCGGCAGGCCGCGTTCAACATCTGTTCGCCAGGATAAGCGCATCGTTCGACTCTCAAAGGCCGATCCCACGCTTACCAGCGTCGACATCGCGGCTGAGATCAACGCTAGTGATGGAACAAACAACAGCAGACGGACTGTGGCAAGAAAGTCTAATGCCGCAGGGTTGATTGGAAGGCGCCCAGCTAAGAAACCGCTAATCAGCCCGAAGAATCGAAAGGCAAGAGTAGAGTTCGCCCGTCGCCACCTGTACTGGACATCGAACGAGTGGAGCGAGTTCTATTTACCGATGAAAGCAAGTTCAACCTCTTCGGATCTGATGGTATCAAGTATGTGAGACGTCCTAGTGGTGAAAGATACAATCCGAGATACACCAAACCCTCTGTCAAGCACGGTGGAGGGTCGGTTATGGTGTATGGCGCGTTCTCTTTCCACGGAATGGGCCCTATTCTAAGAATTGAAGGCATGATGACTGGCCAAAGCTACGCGAACATGGTCATTGAGAGAATACTTCCATGGGCGGAAGATAACATGCCAGCCGGATGGGCTTTGCAACAAGACAATGACCCGAAACACACTTCACGTGCCGCGAAAGACGCTCCCAGCAGAAAGATGTGAGATTTTTGGACTGGCCGAGCAAATCTACGGACCTCAATTCAATCGAGCACATATGGAAAGAACTAGAGAGACGGGGGTCCGGGAACTTCTCCCCTAACACGGCGTCGCACACGCCGCACCCGCCGCCTATCGCAGGATTGCGATGAAAGATTGGAGCGCGCAATTTGTGAGGTAGGGAGTCCTTTAATCATTTGAATTGGCTGGTCGCTCCCTTCAATTTCGAAGCGGTATTGATCGTCGTTTATATAAGAGGAGTCATTTTAATTAATCAAGTCTAATAAACATGAAAACTAAAAAGAAACAGGAGAAAAAACGGTAAAATCCAATGAAAAAGCAAGCCAGTCAAGGAAAAATATCGCGTCCTATCGATTTTCGGGGGGCGGGGTGAGTACGGTAATTGCAGTGACATTTGCCGCATGCCGCAAGGGAAATGCCGCGATAGGGGAGAAGTTCCGTTACTCGAGAGACGGTGTGCCAAGCAGCGATGCAGCAACAAAGACCAGAAGTTCACTTTACTTGCGAAGGAATGGAGCGCCATGCCAACGGCCGTTTTTCAGAAGCTCATCGGATCAATTCCAGCTCGCTGCGAGGCAGTGATCACGAGTCGTGGCTTTCCGACGAAATATTAATTGTTTACGTAGCTTTGGTTTTGATTTTGACGAATTACCACAATTTCCTTAATGAGATAGCTCTTTACTAAGACCTGGATTTTGTAAGCTGTTTTGAAAGATTGTGCATCTGACCTCCTTTACCAGCAACAACTCGTTGGAATGAAATGCCGGTAATGTATTTTGTTTGTAACAATGCTACACATGACATATAAAATTTTCAAGCAAATCGGTTGAACAGAAAAAAAATATTCACAAAAAACCGTTTTGGCGAATACTTTTGACCGCTACGGTCACACCGCACCCATCGCGCGCCAAGGGGAGATGGTTAGTGGGAACGGTTTTGTGTAGTCGATACGCCGCACGCGGCTATCGCGGACCATTTGCCCAGTTGAAACACTCCCAGTGTTCTTCATANACAGCTCAACCGCTATGCGATTATTACTTTAGGCACGATCCTACTGATAGTTCTTTTGTTCCTGAATTTCTCACTTGCAGCTGGATTCTGCTGCATTCCTTCGCGCGCGACGTCTCTCTCGCCGCGACGCGACAATTTCGTTCCTACTGCACCACACCCCACGCGTGGAGACGGTCACTTCCGAATCGTGGAGAGGTTGTTGCGGTTTGAATCATTCTTCCGCGCGCGTACATTCGATTACAACATCGAAGGCTTTGCCGTGCAGCGGTCTTGCACGTTGCTAGTCGAGGATCTTCTACAACTCACTGGTTACTCTATAGCTCCTAAATCATTAATCAACGCATATGTGTATACACACATTGTTTTTTGATTCCTTATTCATTACTTAACGATGCGCACCAAGTTGCATTCAAATGCCCGCGCGCGGGAAACTATTTCCAGCCGAACGGCGCTACAGTGCACTGTAGCGCTATCTCGGGGTCCCAAGGGGGTGTGGTGCGATTCACGCGTCAATATGGTGATGTCATCGGACGTGACACGCTATAACATTATGTCTACCATAATAATGGGAGGAACTTATAAAACATACGTGCAAAATTACCAACTATGCACGTTTACAGAGAATTGCGTTTCTGGGATCAAAAAACTTGAACTTATTATTATGTGATCTCGAAGTGGCTGCACTGCCATAGTAAAGAGATTTGCTCTAATTCATGGTGAAGCCGTGTACTGCTGCATCAACAGAAGGGTACTGAGGCAATGCTGCGTACGCGAAGAGCGCNCCCCCCCCCCCCCTCGTTGCAAGGTAATGCGCCACTTGCGCGACGTGGCCTCGACGCGACTACAATAGAGCCGGAGCGCATTCCTTGGCTATAGAACGTTAAGGAAGAAGCTTCGAAAACATTATACTTCTCAACTACTATGACTTGGCCCATCGTGGGCATCGATCAATAAATGGGAGGACTTTGATATGACCTTCTTACAGATCTGGTACCGGAATCAATGCTTCACTCTTACTTTATTCACTAGCACCATACCTATCCAATCAAGTTCTCACAGCTGGTGACGTCAGTGTCCTGTTCATGGAGGCTGCCTTAGCCCTCACCGTGTCTGACCCTTCAGAAATATTCAGGTACGACCCTGATCAGTGTATCTCGAATATATCTTTGTGCCGCTATGCTCAAATTAAGCTGTTCGAACTTTACAGGTATTTATATTTTTCTCCAGGCTAGATTATCTAGCTAGATGACGTTTCATGGAAATCGTCGCCTTTGATTACCTGGAAGTAGCAGCGCTGATAATTCATTAGCGTAGCCCGCCAAGCGCTGTAGTATACTAAACCAATTGGAACACGTCCTGTGCGCTGAGGAGATCAAAAATGGTACGTCAGCACTTGTTTTTTTCTACTACTTCGTGCATAACACTGGTTGCTGTTAGGCCTTCTTATGCGCCTGTCCAGTGGGAGTAACACAAACCGATTTTCAAATTGCCGAGATGAAGATATATATTCGTCCTAGCTGCCACGTCGTGCGATGCGCTGTAGCGATGGTACTTTGCCATCATGATAAGTTCAATACCTTCGATAACAATCACGCAAATATGAAATCAATTACAAATAGAACTGTGACTACTACATCATCCTCAAGAAAATTTGCGATCAGGCCGCGATTCCGATTACGGATTCGGGGGTGGATTACGTTGCATTTGGGGTTCCCGAGGCTCTTTGGTTGTCATGCGACCACATGTAAGCTGCGTGATTCCGGCTACCAGTTCTTCGTTGTACACTTAAACGATCGGTGAGCCCGAGGACTATTCACGAGCAGGATAAAGGCAGGAAAGATGGAAAGCGGGAAGAGAGAGGAGACGCCCTAAGAAAAAAAAGCCGAAGGACCACTGGCGATATCAACGTTATCGGTGAAGGAAGTGGAAGTTCTAACTTAGTGTAGAGCAGATGCCAATCGATTTGTCATGGAATCTATGTCTTGGCATTCATTCGCTTCTTCGTCAAATTGCTAACAATAAGTTCCCATAGAGTGCGTTCCCAGCGATAACACCAACCGCGTCCTCGTCCTAAGAGACCACCTATGAGGTCAAAAAGCCAGCTAACAATAAGTCAAGCTGATCTGTCTTCAGAGGAAGAACTACATATTCCGCTGTCCAGTCGCTCCCAATGCTGTATTGCTGTAATTTCTTCTGCTGCTTTCTGCTGCGAGTATGAGATTACGTGAAAGGTCAGTGGAAAGGTGATGAAGTTTAGCTGAGCGGTGGCACGGCATTCTCAACTCTATCATTTTTTCTGTGCTGCTGTAATCAGAGACTTCGGTATTTCCACCACAAATTCAAGTTTCAATATTTTGCCTTATTCTTTAGGGTAATGGAACCTGATGTTCATACAGTCGGTCTAGTGTTTTACTATCTTAAAAACACTTTATAAATTGAAAAAATGAATTTCCTTAGCTATCGCACACTACATCTGTTGAATAGGTTCCTGCTGCTTCATCGGAGTCATCGTATGGTTCGGGGCTAAAAATGTTTGAACTTTAACGCTTCGTCATTTTTTGTTGCTTTTTCTAGTGTTGTATGCGTTGATTTAAGTCGTTTCGAACTCATCTGGATCAACTGTGATAGTGATTGGGTTAATGATTATGTGAAGTACTATAAGTGGTAACATTTTGACATTTTTTTCATATTAAGGGGGATAAATCAAAGATGTAGTTCGGCTTCCGTTTCGCACGTGCCCTAGACGGAAGTTAAACCTGACAATAATCTCTCTCCGTGCTCATCAGTAGGGGAAGGGGAAACGAAGGAGTACAATAACGTTATATATAACAAGTTGACATATAAAGGAATGCATAAGGAATACAAAAGAGTTGAGAACATGAAAGAAACCAATGATTATATGATTGATATGAGAGAACCTCATCGCTTACAATGGTTCATGGTATTCTTCGATGTCGTCTAAACGAATCGTATCCAACCAACGAGCAACGTGTGAGAGCTCTGGAATGCGCGTTTGTCGTATCGCAGGATGTCAACCGTCATTCTCAGTGGATATACACATGGTTCGGCGACTCTACTGAATCTTCTAGAGAAAGTTGAGAGGCTACGATTGTCTGCACGACACTATTTGAAAAGTCGTTTAAAACTTCAAGTTCGCAAGAACACGACATTCCAATTATCACAGATTAGGAGTTTCTATTCCACACACACTAACCTGGTTCTGGTGGTTGTGTGTTTGCTGGCTTGTTGAATGGGTTTGATGCTAGCTTCCCGAATATTCGTCGTTTAGGAGGTTCGAAAAGAATCGGATACAGTTCTGGGCCTTTCACATCGGAACATATCGGTGGCCCAAGTGACCAGCAGCTGTCACCTCGTGCTTGAAGTGTAGTGCCTTCTTCAGTGGAGGATGAACTCGCTGATGTGTCCACCTGATGAGTGCGTTGAATTGCTGTCGTAGACGTTTGGGCCGTGCACATTTTCATGACTCGGGCAAAGTATTCTCTAAAAAGTTCTTTTTAAATAGTTGCTCGAAAGTTTTTTTTGGGAACATAAGCCAGTTCAAATTCAGTATCCGGTGTCTGTCTAATACTACCTTCAATCTTCTTCCACTGAGATTGGATGCACATAACTCGTAATAAATTGTACTCACGCGGCGGCCCTAGCAAATAAAATTGTATCAGAGAGTTCTAGGTCACGTAGTTGCTCGTACTGCTCGTCTTCTTCGACGTCTATCTGAAACCTGACTTTATAGGCTTGTGAAGAATGAACGTAGTGATTGTTACGTGGCATGTCTCTCACGAATGAGCTCGTTTTTCTGGAAGGAATCGTAGGATCACTCACTGTGCTTTTCTCGTTTACTTGCCGGAATACTGTTATGATATCTTCGAGGCACATTATGCGATCCAAGCGCATTGTGCTAGTGTCTCCTTAATATGGAATAAGTCGGTAGTATTCATTCAAGTGTATCAGTACAGCTGGAAAGTATGCACGTGCCTCTATGACCTGTGCATGGTTATCTCACACGTTGCTCTGGCTTACTGCTCATTCCTTATTCGAGATTGTCTTTCCGTGATAGGTAAGTGACGGATAGATGATGCGAATTTTTGTGAAGAATCAGCTACGTACGTGCCTTACCATTAGAGAGTTACATTGTGAATTCAGAGGGGTCAGTAACCATGTGATCCCTTGTCACCTCTTATTAGTTGTTATCATTTCCTCTTATCAGCCATCTGCGAAACCACTATACTCCGAATAACATGCCAATTTTCGAGGTCCCTTAGTTTAAGCAGTTTTCTAGTTGCTTTTCCCTTTTGAAGTTTACTGTTAGCCCTTACCAGTTGTCATCAGCTCTTAGCGCCAACAGTCATCAATTCCGTCAGTACTTACGTGACAATTCGCCATCGTTAGTACCAAAGACGTGCCCACTTATTTTTTGCTGTTTTCTATCTGCCCATATCAGCTGTTATCAGTTCCCATCGCCAATTATCTACAATCCCAGGTTCCACTGTCAGCACGAAAGAACTAGTAGCCATCGCTTTCCATGCGTTTTTATAAGCGTATATCACTTGCAATCAGTCCTTGTCATGAATCATCTACGTTCCCTTTATATCCTTATCTACCTAGCAAAGTGCCAAGGAACAACTTTCCAACAGAAAGGGCGTAGCGGATCCACTGGTCGTTGCATTCTGAGACTCCTTATCGGTCCTAATCAACTATTATCATTTCTTATCATCTACCATCAGTGTTCCCATTCTGCCGCCTGTTTCCTTCCTAATTTGAATAATCTTGGTCCGCGTGGACAGGAGTGTTGAATTATTGATCAAACAGACACCGACCCGCACATATACAGACAAGGCATCATACACACTCAGCGAATTTTATAAAGTAGGATGATGTATTACTTCTGTTAAACTGTAAGAAGGGAATAAAACGGTGGGAAATATATCAAAACTTTTCTTAATATGGTTTTAGACGTGGAGCCTGCTTACGTCTGCAGTACGCGTCGCGAGTCTGCTTCATCCAATGCATAGCTATGCCGAGTCGGCTCATTTGATGCTCGGGAATCTGAATACATAAGTAAGAAACACCAAAAGTCGCATGTTGGAAACAGAGAAAGAAGTTATTTTAGCATATGAGATTTCCCGAAGGCTACCCTATTACGGAAGTGGAAACTACCGTACCATGACAAGACCGTTCCATGTACCTTGGACAAATTTAACTAGTTGGACGGCGGCCATGTTCACCTCCGATGGCAGACTAGGATCCCATGTGATGTTGCGCACATTTTGTGCGTTGCGTGATGGTTCTACAAAACGGTAGTATTTCAAACCTGATTGCCTCTTGAAAGGACAGAACTAGCTAAAGGAAGCACAGTCAAGTGCAACTTAGGTTGCAATATTTCGACTGATAATGAAAAACATTGTCTAGAATTGTGCAAAAAAAGGCGGAAAGGGCGTTCAGAAAAGAAGTGAAATCGAGGATTGGACAAGTTACAGACAGAAAAAGTAGTGTGAAGAGGAGCTCCCTGCAATGTGTGAAGTTGAGTTCAGCTGACTAAACTGTCGTTGAAGGATCGAATTTCATCTTTTCCTATTGTTCTTCTGCGTTATGGATATATTCTGCTGCAGCTAAGCATGCAGAAAATGTCTGCAGCATCGAAAAGGACGGCAAAGCATAGCGGAATCAGAGTAGAACCTCCCCTCACCATTTGATCAGCTGATTGTACGCTGAACGATGGGTCCGATGTGCGTGGCATCCTACCGATCCGGTAACGGGGCTCCAATTATGGCCCCACTCCTGAGTTTTTGGGCCCGATAACGTCCTTTCTGTTACCCTTGGGGGCCAATGGGTAACCATGAGAAGAAATCTAAGGAACGATTTTTATCGTTAACTGCCTTTAAGCTAAGTATCCAGTGCTCTCCCCGTGGATAATGCAAGAGAATGCTTCTTCTGGGTGAACTCTGTGATTGGCTTTTNGGGGTTATTCTCTTTCGGCGTAGGTTTGGTTTAGAATATTCCGTCATTTTCAACCCAAATAGGCTCAAAGTCTTTCTGTCTGAATGTTTTGAATGTTTGAGTTTACTTGTCATTATTGCTAGCAGAAAATGTACAGTATCGAACTTGGTTGGAATCCACGACGAATCAGACGCATTTCGCCAACGACTTTGGCGTTTTCCATTACTACAGCACAAATTTCGTTTGGTATAACACCAGCCGAGTCCTTGCTGAGAACAATCAGTGCCCAACGAAGCATACGAATCGTTGCCTAGATAAGTAGCTTATAAAGCAAAACTGTTCAAAGCAGTCAGAGAAATATTGGAAACGTGGTATTCGTTATTTTGATCGCTTTTTGATGGAGATCCTACCAATCGGCATGGTTTCAAGCACAAACCATGAAGTCATAGTGCCAAAGCGATCAAAATACAAAAATACCCCTATACGAATGGTACCACTTCGCCTTTCTCTCTCCAGAGTAACTTGTCAGTGAGGGTTTGGCGGGCGGTAGCTCGATCGACGCCACGCTCTCTGGCTCGCTCTATTAATTCTCTCTCTAGTTGTGACATTACACGTTGCTTTGGACGTGACAGATGGTAAGTGAAACTGTTCGGAAAGTGATGTGGTCCCTGAAAGTATCTCTTTTTACGATTAATTGGATGAGGGGGAAAGTCACTTTAAATCTTGAATAAAATAATTGAGGAAGCGAGAGCTGTGCGTATTTAGCCATGATTTACCATTATTACCAGGCATTTGGAAGGAGAATGGCGTTAAAGGGGAAACACAAGCACTATCACATGAAGCTGACATAATTCAAGCCAGCCAGGTATCCTTGAAGACGTGGAGGATCCGTTGTCAAGCAAGGCTTGATAACGAATAAGACTGTATAGTGTCTCAGCCCACAGTGTCGTATACCAGGCAGAAGACTACCAATGATTATTAGTATTTTTCGATATCATATGTCGTTCTCAAAGACGTTTTGTCAGGAACCATTGGTGACCCGGTTCCTAGTCCTCATCCTAATACTTTCATCTCTTGCCCAAGCTATGTATGTAGCAGGTCATCTCACTCCAAGGTACGTACACAGGAGGGCAGGAGAAAAGGAAAGATGGCTACTCTATGACATTGTTTTGGTTGAGAGCTAGTGCAGTTATTCATGTCACCACATAATTTCATCATCCCGGCTGCAGAAGCGAATGTAAAAAGTGAAAGGACACATGAACAGCCGAAATCAACGCAGAGTTTTCAAATTATAGGGGAATCATAACAGGGAAACGTGGAACTTAACCCATTGACGACAGCGCGCGTTTTGGATTTT